AAGAGTCGGAGCCTACCTGGTGGGAGATGAACCATTTCCTAAGCAGGTCTAGAGCAGGATCAGTGCCAGAGCCAAATGGTGTCCAGGACAAGACTCCCAAGTACTGCGAGAGCTCAGGCGCAGACTCTGGGAGCTGGTGAAAGCAGCAGGGAGGAAGAACTCAGTCAAGGAAAGCTGGCTGATTGCAAAGAGGTGTGTGAGGCCATGAGGGTAGTGGCTGCCACTATGGACACCAACAGGCAGAACTGACTCTCCAGACACCCCTCACAGCCTGCTGGGGAAGGGTCTTCCCAGTTTTTCTTTCTTTACACACACTCTCCCCCAAGAGTGGTGATGATCACAGCCCACTCATCTGGAGACCCTGGACATGTGGAGGACATGTCTGGACCTCCAGCCCCTGGACTCTCGGTCCTCTCCGGTCTGCTCTGAGACCATGCCTTAGGCTCCTCACGTCGTCACACCTCACATGACCAGCCAAACCCCTGGGTTTCCAGGTGCCTAAGAAGGGAGGACCAGGAGGAAACAGTGGTGACGCCACATTTATAGGGCTAAAAAGAGGTTTACAGAAATCATGAGAGTAAAATGAGAAACTCATATATGGGGTTGTCTGAGTACATGAGGAGACCCTAAGCAGAAACAAATAAAATGTTATTTCAGGCTCAGGTCATGATTGAAAAAAGTCACCCTGCTAGTTTGTTTAAATGTCGACTTACCAAAGCACCAGTCCAGTTCTCCGTGAAAACAGAAGGAGGCTGTTCAACATGAAAAATCAGTTAATAAAACATCAGCTAGTACAGGGCATCTAAAATACTGGAAGGAATTCTGTCTCTCAAAGTAATGCCTCAATCTCCTCAGTTAACTAAAATTACAACATTCTCATGAAACATTGTTATTGTTTTAAATACAGAGGACTCTATTAGCAAAGCATGTTTTTATAATGGGTCTGGGACACTGACTTTCTCCTTTGCGATACATCGACTGAGAGCACCATTCCAATCATAGCAGGCATCAACAAGTGTTCTGACATAGGAAGAGAAATAATATTGGGCACTGAAACGAATGTGTAAGGGTTATAAATCACAAATCTGTATATGTATAAAGGTAAAAACTGTATAAACCATAATCAAATCATTCTCTTTCTCTCTTAATCTATTTCTGAAATAGATTGAGGTGTGCTGTGCTGAAGGGTTTAAAAAGAACACAGTGAATGTTCAGGGAAAATGTATTTAAGCAATGTCATAGTGTCCTTGAAGGCTTCTGTAGGCACCTTCCATTTTGGCTCAAGCCCAGGCTGTGGTGTTTCTGAGCCAAGATGGCTTCTGAGCAGGCAGGGATCTGGAAGCAGGTGTGCACTATCGAGCTGGACACACCTGGCCATTCCACATGAGGATTTTAGGGCTTTTGGGATTGGTTCCCATGGATTTAGCCAAACCCCCATAATTAACAAAGAGGCTTATAAAAGTGAAGCCTGGGAGAAACACTTCTACATTGTGTCTTCAGTGGAAGAGGAACATGAGACTTTTCATTGTGAGCTGTGTTGCCAATATTCCTGTTTCTAGAATACTGGGAGCTGTTTGGTGAGAAGAGTGAAATGTTAGTGGCTTGGAAAACTCAACCAGCCCACTGTTCCTGAAGCCAGTTAGTTGATCCTCTGTGGGACTTGACAAGCTGAGCTGTGGCTTGGAAATGCAGTAAGTAATGCTGTCCACATGTGAGATGGTGTATGAAAAGGATGTTTGAGCCAGCTCATGGGTGAGTTGAAGCTGAGTGAACTGCCACTGTGGAATTCCTAGTTGATGTTGAAGGTAGGACATGTTCAGGGTATTACCTGTGTCAAGTGCAGTCTTTCCTCATTGCTTGACGTGCTCTAGATGAGGGGTTAGCTGGCTGCTCTTTACTCCCTCTGGAGGCAGTATGTCCTTAAGCACAGGACTATGAAACCCTCTGTACAATTAAAGTTAATTGATCTGTCTTTAAAGGCAGGATGCCCGGAAATCCCATCCCATCTTAACGGCATGCTGTTGTGGCAAAGTGAGATTCCACAAACATCCCATTCCAGAGGACTGTCTCTCAGCTCTTGAGGTAA